AAACCCCCCCCCCCCCAATCAACTCCATTGCACCGCTCGATTTTTCACCATCCGAGAGCCAGAGCAAACACCTAATCCGATGATGCCCACTCACACTTTCCTCGTCCGTGATGCCTACCTCCTCGCATGCTTCTCTCGTTCACAGCCCATTGGTTTCCGTCTCATGTTTCGAGATTCCGTCGTCCACGTCCATGGAAACATCTCCTTTGATCGTCGTCACCATCTCTCGATACCGAACCCCCATGCATCTTCTGTTGCATCCAGACGTCCGACATTGTCCCCTCGTTCAAACCCTAATCCAATTTCCGACGTCGTTCAAGAAGCTCCTGTTAACAGTGAGAAGAAGACGAAGACGAAGAAGAGAAACTCGGAGTTGTTTGCTAGTTCGGTTACAACAAACCCTAATCCAACTTCCGACGTCGTTCAAGAAGCTCCTGTTCCAAGCGAGGAGGAGGCGAAGGCGATGAAGAGAAACTCGGAGTTGTTTGCTAATTCGGTGACAGTAAACCCTAATCCAGCTTCCGACGTCGTTCAGGAAGCTCTTGTTCCAAGTGAGGGGACGAGGAAGAGGAAAAACTCGGAGCCGTTTGCTAGGTCGGTTACTACGAACCGTTCTCCGTCGCCAAGACATGTACCGATCCCGATGTTCTACGTAAGGGAAAGAATCAAGCTTTCAAACCCGCGATTCGACGTGAAGAAGAGCAAGAGAGCTTAATCTCCGATTCATTGTTTGTTTTCATTTTATGTCGTTTATTAGTCTTAGTATTACTATGTTTGGAGTTAAAATAAAGATGCACATGGATATCGTGTGTAATTACCTTCAATATTTGCAGCTGTAATTTTCTGATAACTAACAATAATAATAGTGATAATTATTACATTCAATTGTTAATTACATTCCCCATTGTCACAATTATTGGTTGTACAATAATTACAAAATATGGAAAAAGTTTTTTTTTCTTTCATGAATTTAAATTGGCGAGGACTATAGAACAAATAACATTAAATTCACAAAATTAATATCGTGAATTGAGTTAGAAAAATACGCTAATCTCATAATTAAGGCGTAAATATTTATGGGTAAAATTTAAAATACCACATTTTTATTATCCAAAACTACCAATATATGTAAAATTTATGAAAACGAATTTTCAAAGGCAAACATATATTTCCATTGTTTTAAAATTAAATCCTAAAAAAAGGTAATCTAATCCATAATACAATCGAATAAATATATACTAAGAAAATATTTAGTCATATTGGATAATTTTATGATTAGAATTTAAATCCAATTAAAAAATTATTATTTTTGTAAAAGGAGAACGAATGGAAGATCTCCAAAATATCCAAATAGTATATTTTGTATCCTATAAACCTTGAACCATCAAGTCAAAGTCAAATAAAGCTGAATACGTAATTTTGTTTCCATTTTTAAATATACTAGTTAATATTTTAAATTTCCGAAAACCCCATTAATTTGTTTTCCTCTACCAGTAAAGCATTGAACTTGTACAATCTTTATAACATTAATTATTTCATAATCCAGAAATTACGGGATAAACAAGAACAAATATCTAATTACAAGGAAATACATAAAATGATTTTCGATTTCTTAATTGAAACCGAAAACAAATTCAAACTTCAGAAATAAAAAATAAGTCAAGGATTTACTTTAAAAAATGAAATTAAATTCAATATTTATATGAATACATGTAACAGTTTAATGTTAATTTATATACTAAAATATATAATACAATTTTATTTGGATATTCTCCCAAAAACTTGATACTTATCTCTTATAAACTGTTGCCTTAGAAAAATATACAAAATTATTATTTCAAAATAATATTGTTTATTTTTATGAAAATTATTATATAGTAAATGGTAACAATATACGTCCTTTCCACTACAAAAAAATCCTCGAATTCCAACGGATTTTCCAACGGATTTGTCCGTTGGAAAATTTCCAACGGATTTTCAACGGTTTTCAACGGCGTTTCAACGACGATTTCCGTTAAAATTCCGTTGAAAACTTCCAACGAGTATCCGTTGGAAACACCCGTTGGAAATTTTTAACGGAATTTTCAACGTATTCAATTGAAAAATTGGGTTGGAAATTTCCAACGGTATTTCCAACGGATATCCGTTGGAATTCCGTTGGAATTATTTTCAACGGATTAACGTTGGAAAAATTGGTTGCAAATTTTTAACGGAGTTCCAACGGATGTTTGTTAGAAAACAATTCCAACAGATGCCGGTTGGAAATTTTTTTGAAAATTTTTAAAAAAAATTCCAACGGAATTCCAACGGATGCCGGTTGGAATTTTTTTTGGAAATTTTTTTTAAAAAAATTCCAACCGAATTCCAACGGATGCCGGTTGGAAATTTTTTTGAAAATTTTAAAAAAATTTTTAACGGAATTCCAACGGACATCGGTTGAAAATTTAGATTTTAATTGAAAAATCAATTGAAATATATATATATATATATATATTCGAATTCATATATATATATATATGTATAATATATATTTGCTATATATATATATAAAATATATATATACAAAATATACATGTATTTATATATCATCCCTTCCCATGT